TCTAACTCAATTTGGTATCCGAAAAGCTAAGCTGTTCACCGTGCCTACAGGCGGTTCCTGGGTTTTCTGAATTTTTATTCGGAAATCAAAACGCGCTATAAGTACTTCAAATATCTCAAACAAAGCTAAAATCAGTCTCATAGCCCATTTTGGCCAATTTTAGAATTCCGGCACGGCGGCGGTTCGCTTCAGATCGGCTATTTTCAGCCGAATTTGGCTGATTTTGGATCAATCCCTGCGAGAAATATGATTGCAGGCGTGCCTTGATGATGTAGATATAATAATAACTTGTATGGCCCAGATGAGAATAATTCTCTGAATGTAACTATTTGTGTAATTATTTATGGTTATTGATTTTCACATTAATAATAGCTGTTTTGGTAATTTCATTTTGAGGTATTATTTCACTGTTTCCTTTTGGTTCTTTCCTTTATTTACTATAATTATTATAATTGTTGAAATCTTCTAGAAATTAGAAATTTTATTATATATCTATATATTATGAAAATTAACCACAAAAATTTATATATTTATTAATTTTGCTTATATTGTAACATTTTTTAATAAATATATTGATTTATTTAGATAATGTCATTATAATTCGATTTTATTGATGGAATCAACTCATAAAAAAACTGTTAATATGGAGTATATAGATCGTTTTATTATATTTAAAGACAATGTTTTTTTTTTTTTTAAATTTTTATATTGAAAACTTTTTGTTTCTATGCAATTTTTGCTCCCAGTAAATAATTGTGAAAAGACTATTCTAAAGTTATATCTTATACATACCACGTGGAACAAATTTAGTTTGATAAATTTAAAACAGTGTAATTAAAATCAAATTTTTTCTAAGATTTAATAATAAAATTAATTAAAAGTAACATCTACTAATATTAAAACTAACACATGGCAAATATATAATTATTACAACTTTTACACCTCGCATGCAATTTTATTAACCAAATTAATCTTTTGTTGAAATTTCACTATTTGCATAATTAAATATTTTATCGAAACTAAAACTTTTAAATTAACAAGCGTGAATGAGAAGAAATTTTTTATTTATTTATATTTTTTTATAAAAAAAACAAAGCTTATTGGAAACACAAGCTAGCTAGTATATAAACCAACATGATCCTCCCATTTCTCTTCATCCCTTCATACATTTGAGAACTAAAAAAGTATATAGCTAGTGTCACAATGGCTATGACATGTTCAATTTCAAAGTTGCTCTTTGTTGCAATATGTCTCTTTGTTCATATGAGTGTGTCCTTTGGTGATTTTTCTATTGTGGGGTATTCGCAAGATGACTTGACATCTACTGAGAGGCTTATTCAGCTCTTTAACTCGTGGATGTTGAATCACAATAAATTTTACGAGAATGTTGATGAGAAACTTTACAGATTTGAAATTTTTAAGGACAATCTAAACTACATTGACGAGACAAACAAAAAGAATAACAGTTATTGGCTTGGATTAAACGAGTTTGCTGATTTAAGCAATGATGAATTCAATGAGAAGTATGTTGGTTCCCTTATTGATGCAACAATTGAACAATCCTATGATGAAGAGTTTATTAATGAAGATATTGTAAATTTGCCCGAGAATGTCGATTGGAGAAAAAAAAGGAGCTGTC